TAAAGATGAGAAAACTCAGATTTAAATTGGTTTAAAGAGTTGCACAAGGTCACATACCAGTACAAGACAGAACCGAGACCCTGACCCACATCCTTGGGTTTTTTTCTGACACATCCCTGGCTCCTACATGGAGACATAACTCAGAGAAGACAAAAGAAAGGAAGAAAGAGTGGAGAGAAGCTAAGAAAAGAAAAGAAAGAAACTGAGTGAGGAAAAATAATATGATAGATTAAAAAGGGAGGTAGGAGGACAGAGATGAAGCTATAAGCAGAGACACTAAGGGGAAAATAAGGCTTTTGTCATCTTAGATGTTATTTAATACTTATTTATTTAGAGAAAGAGAACATGTGCACATGAATGGGGGAGGGGGAGAGAGACAGAGAGAGACAGAGAGAGAGAATCCCAAGCAGGCTCCAAGCTGTCAGTGCAGAGCCCAATGTGGGACTCAATCCCATGATCCATGAGATCATGACCTGAGCCAAAATCAAGAGTCAGACATTTAACAAACTGAGCCATGCAGGGACCCCTGTCATCTTATATTTTATAACAACAAACAGTGCCCCAGCAAAGGAGTAAAAAACTGTCTTCTCAAATCTCAAAACCTAGAAAAAAAAATGTAGGGTACTCATCCAGATTACAAAAATAGTAAAGAAATAACTAAGATGGAAAGGTGTAAAGAAAGACATCAACAGGTCCCCAAAATAAAGGAGGAAGCAGAGCCTTCTGGTGCCATAGGAAATGATGCGGACTGAAAGCCCAGCGTTAACACACAAGTGACAACAGAAACCTCACCTGTCTAGCCTCAGTAACTTTGGACTAGCTCTGGACCCAGAGGAGAGAGAGGATGTGCTTCCCTACAGCTACGTGTTTCTCAAACTGGAACAATCTTTGTTCCTAATATTAGCCTTCCAGAGTTGGTACGAATTATTTTTTCCTTTTTTAAAAAAATTTTTTGTGTTTATTTTTGAGAGAGAGAGAGAGAGAGAGAGAGAGACAGAGCATGAGCAGGGGAGGGGCAGAGAGAGAGACACACACAGAATTTGAAGCAGGCTCCAGGCTCCAAGCTGTCAGCACAGAGCCTGACATGGGGCTCGAACCCACAAATGGTGAGATCATGACCCAAGACAAAGTCAGATGCTTAACCGACTGAGCCACCCAGGCGCCTCAAATTTTTTCTTTTTTTTAACATTTATGTATTTTTGAGAGAGAGGGAAAGAGGGAGGGAGGGAGGGAGGGAGGGAGGGAGGGAGAGAGAGAGAGAGAGAGAGAGAGAGAGAACAAGAGGGGGAGGGGCAGAGAGAGAGAGAGGGAGACAGAGAATTGAAGTAGGTTCTGTACTATCAGCACAAAGCCCAATGTGGGCTCAAACCCATGAACTGTGAGATCATGACCTGAGCCAAAGTTGGAAGCTCAAAAGGCTGAGCCACCCAGGTGCCCCTTATTATTTACTTTTAATGGTTGTTAAAAGCCATAAGTACTGCTTTGGGTAAAGCTGATTTATAAATATTGTTTTATTAACTTGTAGTTCTCCTCACACAAAATCAGAGATGTTTAAATTGTTATCCATGGGAACAGCAAAGCAGATTATGCTCCAGTGGGTAGACATTGTAGATAAACTAAACTAAACTAAAAAATAACACCCAGTATTTCAATAGAGGGGCTTCAAATCTAACAGGTAAGACTTCTTTATGTTAAAAAAATAATCCAGCAAGAGGTGCCCAGGTGGCTCCATTGGTTAAGCGTCTGACTTCAGCTCAGGTCATGATCTCACACTCCATGAGTTCAAGCCCCGCGTCGGGCTCTGTGCTGACAGCTCAGAACCTGGAACCTGCTTCAGATTCTGTGTCTCCCTCTCCCTACTCCCTCTCCTGCTTGCACTCTATCTCTCTTTCTCTCAAAAATAAATAAACATTTAAAAAAATTAAAAATAAAAAAATAAATAATCCAGCAAGGAGTGACAAAGGGAACAACATCCCCAAAACCACAAAGAATATACACATCTCCAAAAAGTAACCCTGACTCTGCCTAAAGTTCCACTAGACACAGCAGAGTCTTCAAAACATTCAAAAAACATATCTGTACAATCTTTGACTGGCTGTCCCAGGGTACAGTTCCCCCAGGGAGACAGGAAAGTGGGGTGTGTCAAGTGCAGGCTCTGGTTTCAAAGGTAATGAAGTATTGGGGCTGAATTTAGAGAATTTGCTGGCAGGAAGTAGCACATCAGCATGCTCAGGATTCAGTTTGCCCCTTTCTAGGGTTACCAGGTTCCTTTAATAAAAACACAAAGGACACTACTGAGAGCTTGGTTGTGTCACACTACTGGCTGAGATAAGGCAGGGTAAGGTTGAAGAGATTCATCCTCTCCCCCAAAAAGGAGTCTTTGAACAAGTAGGAAGTCAGACACGAGGAAACAACCCTTCATCACAGACAGAAGACTCAACAGGACTGTCAGTAGGGCTGCAGTTTAAATATTCAGATCTCTGCATCCTGATGTGGAATGAATGGGTTCTGGCAAAATCTAAAAGGCTAATAATTGGACAGAAGGGTTAGCGATAGCATAACATAATGAGGAAACGGCACCCAAAGGCAATACGATGTTTCTGTCCCCCCTTCCTCCCTGCACACTGTCACCTGCTGCACCACTTTCAGGAGAAAATAGAACTAGAAGACATATTTTCCCCTCTGCCTAGTTTTTGCTAGGGTCCTGAGAACTCGACCCTAGACTCCACCTTACACAGACAATAGGCAACTTATGTAACCCTGGGGCAGTACTTCTACTGGCAAAATAAATGAGTTGGAAAGGCTTTGGGTCAGAGTGTGTTTGAAAGTGATTTCTCATTAATACCTTACAGAGTATAATGGCATGTCAGCATTCAGAGCCACCACCACTCTAGAATACACTACTAACACACTAGAAAGAAAGCCAATCTACAAAATCACTCATGGAAGGCAAAGGGAGAAACTCGTGAGGGAGAAAACACCTATGAGGAATATTAAAGCTGCTCCAACTAGATCAGGAATGGACTATTTAAGGACTTGTTGGCAACTTTTACAGGGTATTTCATTTGTAACAGCAAATGTCACCATGAGCACTTTGGGCTCCAAAAGACATTTTTTTAAAAGTTTATTTATTTTTGAGAGGGGAGGGAGGGGCAGAGAGAGAGAGAGAGAGAGAGGGAGACAGAGGATCTGAAGCAGGCTCTGTGCTGTTATCACAGAGCTAGAACTCATAAACGGCGAGATCATGACCTGAGCCCAAGTTGGACACTTAACCAATTGAGCCACCCAGGTGCCCCCAAAAGACAATTTTTTTTTTACAGGTCACCCTCTGAGAAGTTGAGACCAGAGCATCTATGAGCATAACTTAGAATACAACAAGCAAAACAAATAAATTTGTTAAGATACTGGCTTGATCAGTAAGTACAAATAGGAGGGAAATCTGGTTTTTTTGTTTTTTGCTATGTTTTGTGTTGTTTATGCAGATACTGAATTTCAGAGTAGGAAGAAGTCACCTGAGGGAAAGCTACCCTCCACACTTGGGCTTTTGCAGATGAAGAAACCATAATCATTTCCTTGAGAAGGGTGTCATAACACACTGAGATCTTACCTCTATCTAGTGTGACTCCAGCCCCTAAGAAGGTTCCACAGAGAAAACTTTCCTAAGAAAACGATCCACTCTTACAATGCTGTCTGGGCTATTATGACACAGGCTTTAGAGTTAGGCAGGACAATTCAGTGTGTGCCAAGCACGAGGGCTTCAAGTACTAAAGAGAGAACTTAGGGATTATCTCCTCTGACTTCCTCACTTTACACAAGGGAAAAAGACGACCCAGAAAAGTAAAGCAACCAGGCCAGAGCTCCCCATGAGGTGGGAATGAGTTTCCTAGTGGTGGCACTACTAACATTTTTTGGACCAGATACGTCTTGGGTGGGAGCGGGCTGTCCTGTGCATTGCAGGATATTTAGTAGCTCCCCTGGCCAATAGCAATCCCCCCACCCAATTGTGACAATCAAAAGTGTCTCAAAACATTGTTGAATGTCCTCAGAGAGTGGAAGGGCAGGACAAAATTGCCCCCGGTTGGGAACCACTGGGTTAGAAGCTGAGACAACCAGAAACCAAATCCCTCTCATTCTTCATATGGTGCTCTTTCACTATGTGAACACTTTTTGTTCAGTAAATACTTTGGGAATAGGGAGAACTGATTAAGGCATTAAGCTATCACTAATACTGAGTACATGTTAAATGATATTATTAACAAGCTCTTAAGAATGAGCCTTTAAATAGCAGTCTTAAAGATATGAACTAAATACATTTATCCATCTAATTGTATGTTCCTGACATGAATATAAATGCATATTTTCATGTACATCTATGAAACAATGAGTCTCTCCGTTTTGGCTGGGCAAAATATGGTAATGTCAGTTAAAAGATACTTCAGGGAGGGGCGCCTGGGTGGCTCAGTCGGTTAAGCGGCCGACTTTGGCTCAGGTCATGATCTCGAGGTCCGTGAGTTGGAGCCCCGCGTCGGGCTCTGTGCTGACAGCTCAGAGCCTGGAGCCTGTTTCAGATTCTGTGTCTCCCTCTGGCTGACCCTCCCCTGTTCATGCTCTGTCTCTCTCTGTCTCAAAAATAAATAAAACGTTAAAAAAAATTAAAAAAAAAAAAAAGATACTTCAGGGAGAAATTCCTCTAAAAATGGCAAAATTTCTTACCATCCTTAAACAAACTCACTACACATTGCACCTAAATATAGATCATCTTTTTTTTTAATTAACAAGAAGAGACCCTGATTGCCAAGTTATTTAATCATCTTATTATAAAGATCAGACGCTCAGTTCAAAGAGCTGCAGTTTCCTAAAATAGTGCTTCAAAACAGTGCCAGATTCCTTATTAAACACAGAGGAGAAAATCAGGCTTAAAAATAGAGGATGCACAGCTTCTACCACCAGCAGCCACCTCTGATTTTGGAGTTCCAGATAACTACGGTTTCAGATATTACCTGTTTCTCTTTTTCCGATGTTCTCTATTAGAATTTTCTGATTCACTACCACTGCTCGTGTTACAGCGTGAGCGTGACCTGAGGACAAAATGAGAAGAACAAAAGAAAAAAACCCACATTTATGACAAATAAAAAAATTTCAGGAAAGTTCATATTGGTTCTTTGGAATGACTTTTGCAGTGAAATGACTAAGCCAAACATAAGTAGCTGTATCATCCCTCCCTCAGTCAGTGTTACTCAATTCAGTAAGACATCCGAATGAGTCTACAGACATGTGAAAGCAGATGAAGGCAAATGTCACCATGCTCCCCAAAAAGACCACAAAATCAAGCACTTCCAACAGCACTCTGACACGGCAAAGCTCTAAGTCCCTGTGGTAGACTAACTCTGGACACAAAGTCCTGTCACATCCCCCACCCATCGACAGAGGTAGAGTCTATTTCCCCTCCCTTTGAATTAGCCCTGGCCCTGTGACTGACTTCATCAACAGAATGACATGGAAGGGATACTCTGCTAGCTCCAGGACTATCTCTTAACAGGGCTGGTAGCTCCTCCTTCCTCCCGGCCGCCATCTCAAGAAGCCTAGACCAGCCAGGGAGAGAGACCATAGAGAGAAAGAAGCCCCAGGCCTCCTACCATTCCGCCAAGACAAAAGCCATGAGAGAGAAAGGCCTCTTGAATATTCCAGTCCTAGCTGCCATCTGACTGCAGCTTCATGTGAGACTAGTGAAACCAACCTGTTCATCAACAGAATCATATAACATACATATGGTTGTTGCTTTAAGCCACTAAGTTTTGGGGTGGTTTTAATATAGCAATAGATAACCAAGAGAGTTCCTCTGAGATACAATGAAGCAGAAAAAAAGAGAAATTGCTAAGGATGCTACAGAAGGTAAGACTGAGAAACAACTGAAGCCAAAAGTGACATTTGAAAGTCAATTTTTTGATCATAGCCTTAAAGTAGCCACTAATAAAATCATAACGACAACAACAAAAAAATCCCTGTTCTTGCTTCAACTCTGAGTAGTGCTAATCCTTCCTCCCTCTCCCTGACCCTCCTTCCATTTTTACTTTTTTACCTCCTCCTTTGCTTTAGATCTGAGTCTTCACCACTGTTATGGGCTTTCCTATAGAAAACAAATAAATGAAGATATTAAAGAAAATAGAAAGTGATCAGTTGGCTAAGGAAAACACAGCAAAATGAGTTTCACTTCAGTTAATGCATCTCAGTTTTGTATTCTTTCATTCACCACATATTTAAATCACACAATACACCCAGTCCCAGAAGTAGAACAGAACACTGGCCTCAAAAAGCCAGCAACCTAACAGAGGTTGCAGACAGTCTACAAACAACAATGCACAACACGTCTGTTAAATTCTATTCATCTGACACTAGGGTTGTCTGCAGTTCCTAGGTCTGTAATCTGCCCAGTCAAGTTCTGCCATAATCTAAATGACGTCAGCTCTCACTTACATGTCCTTTCCAACACCCTGGCCCGTGACCAAGTCCCTTAACCATTTTTCGGATGATCTCTTTACGATAACTCAGCAATCCACATCATGGCCACACTTTGGACATTATCATCTATAACCACCTCCAAACTTTGGTCTGTGACCACAATCTCTTCCCCTTCCTGTTTATACCTCTGAACAGCTTGGATGGGGCCTCCTGGTTAAACATGCAGGCTCTGGAGCCAGACAACCTGAACGTGACTCCCATCTCCTCCACTGAGGAGTTGTGTAATTTTTAATTCTCTACTAAGTGCTTTAGTTTTAATGGAACCTCCCACAAGAGTTGTTATGAGGATAAAATGAATTAATACATTTAAAATGCACAGAGTAGGACCTGACTCACTGAAGCACCCAGTAAATGTTAGCTGTTATTAGTATTGCTTTTTTCCACTACTTCCATTCTACCTTTCTTTGATCTCAATAGGACTGTTTGTTTATTGACCTTGCTACTTTCCGTCAGCTTTTCTTGGCCTTCTTCCTGACTCAACTGAGATTTCCCTCATTTCGATAACATGTATGCCAAGACTCAGAACTTCCTCCAACTCTCTGTTTTTGGTTCAGCCTTTTGGGCAAGATCCCATTCATGGGTAAATCAAACTATCCAGGTCCTCTAAGCCAGCCTTCAACAGCTAGCTGAGCAGTGCTGGAGGGAGTTACACAAAAGGGCATATTAGTTACACTACAAATCCATGTTCATAAACTTCAGGTGAATCTACAACATCCTAACGCCTTTCTATGATCTAAATACTCTCTCTCTGCAAAGCAGTTTCAAACCCTTTTTACCTTGTAACCCTCTGATACACTGGTCCCTCTGCATCGGCAGTTGACTTTGTTCTCTCCTTCCAAAGGCAAAAGTAGCCATCAGATGGCAACTCTTTCATCTTCCTGTTACCAAAAATAAAAAATGCCTACATCTTCCTCTGTTATTTACAGATCTGTCCTCACAACTAAGGTCAGTCTCTCCACCTGTGTTGTGTGGGTCCTATCACCTCTTAACTTCTCAATGACTTTCAGTAACTACTATCTTATCCCTGACTTGTCCTTATGGAAAATTCTTTTACCAGCTTTTCACGTTATCAAGTTTCTACTATTTAAACACGCACACATCTACTTGACTCCACATCCCCCTTCATCTTTTTCCCAGTCTCTCCTCTCTCCTCCAAAGCACCAAACTTCTTAAGAGAGGTGCCTAAGCTCCTTATCTCTGTTCCTTAGCCCTTTATTACATGTGCCTTCACACTCTGATGGGCAGACATGGCTCATGCCACATTCCCCCATTTCTTAAAAATACATATATCAAACAACATAATGTTGAGAGGTCTCTGTCCTTATATCAAAATTTTCAATAATTTTTATTTAGTATAAACACAACTATATATATGTTCACAGATTATCTATACAGCGTTTAAGGAATACAATTCCATTCTTGTATTGGTTTTACAATTATTTTAAGAGACAATAATTGCCTGGTTTTCTATGTACATATCATTTCCTTAGTTTTCCTTATTCTTATCACTAATTCTTCACCTAAACTCTGAGAGCTACAAAACTCTTCCTGAGATGTATGAACACTTAGGACATCTTCCCTGGACCCCTGTGCCCTCCTGCTCACATCCAGATGGTCTATTCCCTAGTACTGCTGCAGAAACATCACTCTGATTACTCTCTTCACTAAAATCCAGGGAATTCTTTCTGCTTCTTTGTAATGGACCCCCTATTTCTAGTTGTCATGACTCCTTGTCTTGTTTTGGAGAACATATCTTTCAGTTGTTAACAAAGAAAGTCTGCCTTTCAGGTACATTTTTTTTTTTTTTAAGAACTGGAATTTCTCAAAATATCTTTATTTGACTATGTAATTATAGTTTATCTGGGCTTAAAATCCTAAATTTAAAAGAACGTCCCCTCAGCATTTTGAAGGCAATGCTTATCTTCTTTCTCTGATATTGCTGTTAATGAGTCCAATGTCACCATTCTGATTTGTCAACATTTGTGCATGAACTTTTTTTCTCATAATCCTCCCTCCTTCCAACTTTTACAAAACCTCTCTTAACCTACAATGCTTTAAAATTTAACGATAATGGATCTTGGAATAGATCTAATTTTCTTTTTTTTTTTTTTATTTTTTTTTCAACGTTTATTTATTTTTGGGGGGACAGAGAGAGACAGAGCATGAACGGGGGAGGGGCAGAGAGAGAGAGAGGGAGACACAGAATCGGAAACAGGCTCCAGGCTCTGAGCCATCAGCCCAGAGCCTGACGCGGGGCTCGAACTCACGGACCGCGAGATCGTGACCTGGCTGAAGTCGGACGCGTAACCAACTGCGCCACCCAGGCGCCCCTAGATCTAATTTTCTAATCTATTATGCCAAATGCCCAGTAGCTTCTCTCTATAAAGTTTGATTATTCAGTCTGGGATATGTTATACTTTGTTATACTACTTCTTTAATAGTTTCCTCTCCTGCATTTTCTTTTTTTTTCCTCCCTAGAAATTTCATTAGTCAAATGTTTGATATCTAGGTTTGATCATTTTTATCCTTATTTCCACATATCTGTTTTGTTTTTGTTCTGCTTTGGGGATGATTTCCTTAACTTTACCTTCCAAACTTTCTATTGGTTATTTTAAATTCTGCCACAGGAATATGAAGTCTAAGAATTCCCACTTGTTCTTCTCATATCAAAATTTTCTTTTTTCTAAAGATAATTATACTTCTAAGACATTTTCTTTCTTAAATCGTCTCTATTTCCTGTGAGTATATACACATGCTCCTTACTCTGACTCTGTCTTTCCAAACAGAAACAATCCTCAAATGCCAAATGATGATGGCTCTCTCCTCATATTTAAGAATTAGGCACTAAAAAGTCTGGAACCCTCTGGATGGTGCAGAGCATGTTAACTGATGGCTTCACTGTGGTGTGGAGCAAAGTAATGTGGGTAATCTCAACCATTTCACTGGAGGATCCCTTGAAAGTTGGTATCTGTAGGTCTTTTGGATCTTGGATCTGTCTTTTGTACAGCGAGAGTCTCTGATCTCATGCTTGGGAGGTACAAACCTGGCGTCTAGCATTCTGGGAATAAAGAGGGAAGGTACCTCTTTAGTAAGCAGATTTTCACTCTTTTGACTTTTCCTTGACAATTTCTCTATTCTCTTAAAGCAATTTCCTTTGAAGGTAACTCTCTTCAACTAAGCCAAATAAATGCTGGAGTTTCCCTCAGCTCTGTCACTGGCTTGGTGTTTGCATTCTATCTATAGTATCTATCTAGACAACCTTGTCTCTGTTTCATATTTCAATTTACATCTTTAAGAAATTTACCTTTTAGCCGACAGCCAATCTATCTCCAGACTTCTACCCAACAATCCATGTGAATCCTGCACTTAAACTTCTCAAAAATACCAGAAATTCTACATATCAAAAACCAAACTCACAGTTGTCCTTTTCAAGCCTGTAATGTCCCAGTGACTGTTATTTCAGTGCATCACACTTTAAGTCTGGATTTCATTCCTCACACGTATCACTCCTTCACCCCTCATATCAATCCTCCCAACCCTCCCGATGGGTCTCAAAACCACCCGCTTCCTTAAATCTTCACATCACCATCTTGGCCGAAGCTCCTATTAGCCTTCACCAGGGCTTGCACAGTAGCCTGCTGCCAGGCTCTCTCTTTCCACTACTGCCCTCATCCACCCTTGCTCCATAGGACAAGAAAGCTCATCTTTATGTGATACCAATGTGATCTTGTTATAACCCCCTTCTAAAATCTACTGGTCTAACAACCCACATCCTCAACAAGGCTCAGGTGTCCTAAGAGGTGTTTTCTCTCTGGACTCATTTCTAACATATTTCTGTTCACTCTTTATGCTTGAGCAACACTAGCAGCCAGTAAGCCTTCTCGTGCATGGTCCCCACTCCCTTCCAGAGGCTTCCAAAGCTTCCGTGCATGCTAAATCCTCCACCTCTCTTTGCCTATTCTTGTCTCATATTCCAGTTCAAAAATCCAGCCTCTGGGAACCTTTCCCTGGCCTCCCTGACTCATCAACTCAGCAAAACTTCCCCTTAATAGTCCTGGTTATACAGGTATTTGGATGATCAAAGTTATCAAGTGGTTACTCTTGGGACACGTGTACTTTTCCGTATACATGTTAGGTTTCAAAAAAAAGTTTTCTAAAATACCCCTAAGCACCACATAACTCTCCGTCAAGAATATATAAAAGTGTGAAGTGCACATGCATTTATATGATTCACATATTTCTTCCTCAACAAACTGTAAACTCCCAAAGCGCAGGGACTCTCTTGGGTGATATTTAACACAGCGCCTACATCAAGTAGGCACTCAATAAATATTTCTGAGTGTAAAGATGGATAGGGGTGAAAACTGTATTGTCAGAAGGTAGGCTGGCTTTCTTTTTCTAGAACAGTAACATTTAAAGCAGGCTTCAGGATCTCCATGAACCATGAAAATTACATGAAAGTGTGTACGTATATCTAATCATGTACTTTTTCCCCCTAAGGAATGATCCAACGTTTCATTAGATTCTCAGAGTCCTCTCACCCAAAGAAGGTTAAGGGTCAATGTTCTAACCTCATCCAGAATTTGACAGATGTACTCATCTAATGACAAACAACTGGCAAAATATAAAATTTTGAGATCTTCTATAAAACATGTTGTTCTGGCATCCATTACAAAATAGAATAACAGAATTCCATTATTAAATTTAAGTTCTTGAGATTCTTCTACGCTTTTCACAAATGTCAGTTTTAAATGCCAGAATTACTCTAGCCATGTAAGGATTTGTGCCCAGGGTCAAGGTAAATATCTGTGAAGATAAAACAAGACTGACAAGGACAGGGACACTCAGAGGGCATTTACAGTGGAAAGAAACAAAGAATGAGCTTTAGCTCTTCTTTGCCAACATGTAGCAATGGCTAGTCTCAAAACATACATGCCCAATAAAAGACCTTTCAAGTGATACACATAACTGGACAGAAGGCTCTACGGCCGCTCAGACAACAAGATTCTCTTCCCTATGAATCAAAACAGTCTTTCCCCTGGACTATGTCAATGAAAGGACCCTGTATCCACTCACCACAATTACTTGTCTGTACCTCACAGGAAGCCAACAGAAAATGTATCTCAATATAGAAGTCATTAAGTCTAGATTTCAGAATGTATATACTCCAGACTATTGCAAGCAATTAGTTTGAGGAAAAAAATGTAAATTTTGGTATATTTTAGCAAAACTTGATAAACTCATTTCCAAGTGTGTTAAAATCAAAATGGCCATCTGCTCAACATGTACAACAATTTTATACAGGGAATGCTGTCAAAGTACACTAGCAATTACGGACGAAAAACTATACAAACCTGTGTCTTTAACAATAATCATGCAGTGCCAAATTCTTAATATATTTAGTAGTTCTCACTACCCATGCCCTCTCAAAAGACAGAGGCACTCTAAAGTATCTCCCAGTGGTATTGCCTTGGTTTTAAGTGTTGTCCATGTTGAACCAATCCTTAATAGGGAAATCTTTCCTCCTGCTTTACTTAAATGATGATTAATATCCCTGCCTTTTTCAAACATATAGATCTGTATCCAAACCCAGGTGTGTCACAAAGGACAGCTACCTTACCTCCCCCTAGCCTCTGTTTTCTCATCTGGGCCAGGTATTTTCCTTTGGTACTTAGCCCATCCAAACCCATCAATAATCTCCCTTGTTTTGTCAAGACTAGAAGCCTGAGGGGCACCTGGGTGGCTCAGTTGGTTAAGCATCTAGCCTCGGCTCACATCATGATCTCATGGTTCATGAGTTCGAGATCCACATCAGGCTTTGTGCTGACAGCTCAGAGCCTGGAGCCTGCTCCGGATTCTGTGTCTCCCTCTCTCTCCAACCCTCCCCTGCTCCCACTCTGTCTCTCTCTCTCTCAAAAATAAATAAACATTAGGGGCACCTGGGTGGCTCAGTCGGTTAAGCGTCTGACTTCAGCTCAGGTCATGATCTCACAGTCTGTGAGTTCAAGCCCCACGTCGGGCTCTGTGCTGACAGCTCAGAGCCTGGAGCCTGCTTCAGATTCTGTGTCTCCCTTTCTCTCTGCCCCTCCCCTGCTCATGCTCTGTCTCTTTCTATCTCAAAAATAAATAAAACACACAAATATAATCACACAAATAAGTACACACAAATATAATCACAAAAACAACCTGATCTGCTGGGTAAAATGTAACAGGATCCATTTTCTCTGTATTTGGAAAGGGGCTTTGTTAAAATTTACGCAACAACATCAGTCTGGAAAACAGAGCACCAAGCCTCAGCTAAGATCTACCTATAAACGTAATTTTGTCCTTTCAGGTCAGAACATTTAGTATCTTTTATATATAAAAATAATCATTAATATATATTATATATGTTATATATTTATACATACCATATAATATATATTGTTAAAATATGTACATAGTATATATATTTTTAACTTATCAGTCTTAATAGCAATACAGAAAGCAAGTTTCTATCAGTATTTTATGAAATTATTCTCTGAAACTCTGTTTAAAAAGAAATGCTTTTATCTCAATAGAACATAAGCTTTCTGTTATCCTGAGGAGACCGTCATGATATTATGAGAATAACTTGTGGTAAAAAAGTAACTGGGACCCAGACTTCCTGTTGAAAACTAAACATCAAGTGGTAATGTTCAGCTCACCTCCTCCTTGTCGGCTGTACAGAGTCATCGCTCCCACAGGAGGGGTTTCGGCGACGTGAGGAGGGGAACTTCGGGGATTTCATGCGGTCACTGGGAGAGTTGTAGAGTCCACTGGAGTGGGAGAGGAATGGTCAACAATGCTCGAAGAGAGCTTGGAGGAGCAGACACCCCAGCCCAGATCTACACAAGTATTCATACTCTCAGGAGAATACTGGATCAAGGGCATCCAGCTCTCTTTGCTGACCAGATTTATTCAAAGAAAAGAGAGGTAAGGGGCACCTGGGTGGCTCAGTAGGTTAAGCACCTGACTTTGGCTCAGGTCATGATCTTACAGCCAAGAGTTTGAGCCCCGTGTCAGGTTATCTGCTGACAGCACAGAGCCAGCTTGAGATTCTCTCTCTCCCTCTCTCTCTCTGCCCCTCCCCTGCTCTCGCATGTGCTCTCTCTCAAAATAAATGAAATAAAATAAAGTAAAATACAAATAAAAGAGGGGAAATTATCATCAGTATGTCATTTGGAGTTCAGAAATATACTCTCTTATTCTAAACCATCATAATGATCTTTCAAGCAGTTTCTTAATACACACTGCTTTCTCTTCCTATCTTTCCAGGAGAAAGTTTCATGTTAGGATATATCCTGTTGATTTCTACTTCAGAAGTTCCCAGTCATGCTGATTTAGGAATCTGACTGCCATGTCCATAGCTAGTAATACCCAGCACAAAGCAGTTGGATTCCCTTATTTAATGAGCTGCAATTGCTAATCCCACTTCAACTGTTCTCCTTCAGAAAAACAATGATTCTCTTTACCTCTGGGGGCCATTTTCTTCCCATGGTGCATGAGATTTGTTTCTTTGGGTATCAGGGCTGTTCTCATTCTTTGCTTTCTTAAAGCTTTAATTTAAAAAAAAAAGAAAGAAAAGAAAAGAAATTAACTAGAGAATAAATGGGAGTTAACTTACTTCTTCAGTGAAATTGTTTAACAAAATGTTTTAAAATGTAGTCTTTAAAAAAATATTTTCACGTTTATTTATTTTTGAGAGAGAGAGACAGAGACAGAGCACAAGTGAGGGAAGGATAGAGAGAGAGGGAGACACAGAATCCAAAGCAGGCTCTAAGGCTCTGAGCTGTCAGCACAGAGCCCGACACAGGGCTCAAACCCATGAACCATGAGGTCATGACTTGAGCCAAAGTTGGATGCTTAACCAACTGGTCCACCAGACAACCCTAAAATGTGTTTTATTTATACTCGTGACTCATTCCAAAAATGGGGTGCCTGGGTGACTCAGTTAAGCATCCAACTTTGGCTCAGGTCATGATCTCATGGTTCGTGAGTTCAAGCCCTGCATCGGGCCTTGTGTTGACAGCTTGCCTCAGATTGTGCCTCCCTCTCTGCCCTCCCCGCCTGTGCGCTCTCACATGCATTCTGTCTCAATAAATAAATAAATAAATAAATAAATAAATAAATAAATATTTTTCAAAAAGAATACGAAGTGGCGGCCTAAAAAAATTCATGTCTCCAGCAAGTACTTTTGGGTCTCCCCTCCACCTTTTTTTCTAGTATTACTGCTTTAAGTCAACAAAAGCCAGGTCATCCACTGTTAAGGAACTTTAAGGAGAGTCTACCTGAAGGAAGCTAGGGCAAGTGTTAAGGCAAGAAAAGAAGAAAGCTGAAAAGGAAGGAAAGCTGGGGTATTGGGGCTCATGGGGCTTACTGCCTCTTTTCAGCTCTGCACATGGGTCTAAATCTATGCAGGTTGGTCAGCTCTGGACAGGCTCACAGTACCCAAATTGACCTTTCCCAGTCCCCCGTTTCCGCCATATCTTGGCTTCCTCCTTCCAAATCAGAATGACTTTTAAATGCTGTTTCCTGACCTAGTATCGTCTTTCTGCCTAAGAATGTAAATATAACTGAGTTGTTATTCAATCCAAACAAATTTTTTTAGACACACATGGGCAGACACAGAGAAAAGCCTGGGGCCACCAGTGGCAGAGGGGAGGTGTATTACCTCTTATTTCCTGGGAGTCTCAGCCTCAGAAAAAGAGAGCTGCTTAACTCCCAATCCACATTGAACCCTGGCTTTTTGAGGAATTCTCTACATAACTGTCCTTGAACAGTCACAGCAGGGTTCTTTGTAAGAGCCAACAAAGAAGAAAGAGCAACAAATGACAAGGTCATTTCAAAAAGGAAAATAAACTTGTATCCTAGCATACTATACCCATAGGGAATTCATATAAGCCTGGGGCACCAGAGTGGCTCAGTTGGTTAAGTTTCTGACTCTTGATTTCAGCTCAGGTCATGATTTCATAGTTCTTGAGTTCAAGCCCTACATCCAGCTCTGTGCTAACAGTGTGGAGCCTGCTTGGGATTCTCTCTCTCCCTTTCTACTCCTCCCCGGATTGTGCTCTCTCTCTCTCTGCCCCTCCTCTACACATGCACACACTCCCTCTCCCTCTCAAAATAAATAAACTTTAAAAAAAACCTAAAAAATTATAGATTTGACAAAGGCACTTAACTCACTGCATTAGCATATAGTATGTAGGTTTTATTTTTGACCAATATATTATTTTGATCAAAATTAAGTAATCTTTTGAAAATCAAATACCCGAAGTAAAATCTTACTTTTGAAATGAGGAGAAGTAATAAATATGGTAGACACGTAATACACCAGTAGAAAGTGTGTGTGTTTAATAAATCAGAAAGCAAAAGCGAAAAGAGAAAAGGGAGATTGAGAAATTCAGTTGGGAGATGAAAGGGGAAATGGGAGAGCAGGCGAAAGTTAAAGAATAATGAAATCCTGGGTGGCTAATTAATTGCATTCACTCCCTAAGCCATTTCTCATCTGGAGCTTGAGTGGGAAAATCTGGCCGCCCTTCAGGTATCAGTCCTATCGGCAAGAATGCAGTTGTAAAGGGGATTGAACTCCTTCTGTACATTCTAAAAAGGCTTGGGATCTGAATTTCATGCCAGATTACTGTTCTTATGTTGGACTTACCATAAGCGTACCCTGTACATACAGATTAAGCTGACGCTCTAGCCACAGCTGTGAGGCTAAGGCAAACACAGTCAACTCTAGCGTATGCAAAGGCAAAGAACCTGTCATTCCAAAAAGAATCTATGAAGGGAGTGTCCTGGAACTAAACAAAAGAAACTGTAGGCAAAACCCAGAGGAAAACACCGCAACTCTGAGAATTCTCGTATCTTACAGTTATTTTGCTAGGATATTATAAACTGTATTCCTCAATCTAGGTGAATGAAGACACCATTATTTACTAACAAAAGATGGAGTCGGTGATCAAAGAAGTCTGTCAAGGTCACATATTTCTGACTGCTTGGATTTCTCCATGATGTAGGGAGCTATCTCTATAGACAAAGTGAGCTGATGAAAGCTGCTCATTGTATTTCTCAAATGCTGGTCCGTGAACATAATTGGAGATAGGAAAAACTGACGTGGAAACAGCGTCTTAACAGAGAACAAGGCTGATCTTTCATGGAAACAATCCATGTAATATATTGAGAGAAAGTCTTTCTGCTGGGGATTGCTGCTGGGAAAATTGATGCAGAGGACCATGACAACTCTTCATACATATGCAATCACTGACTTCTGAAGCCCTGCGCCTCTAAATGCTATAAACCCTCTTTCCAGGGCCACAGTTCAGTGCACCACAGTAATGAACACAGCACATTAAACATGAATATCATCTACTTTATTTCACAGGTCCCTCTGAGTAAGTCCATTATATCATGCCATTTTAAAAAGCACGTGGAATTTTCCCTGGGCTGCCGAGAACGCAGATCACAGACTGAGAGTTCACCATGCCAGCAGGAGCATTTCCTTCAAATGAGAGAGGCAGGTCCTGATGTTTCTATTCCACTGGCATCTTTCAGGTATTCTTTCTCGCAGACTATTTCGATCAAATGTATTAACTATCAAAGGAAAGAGATTCTTAACCTTGCCAACAGGAAAAAGCATTTTTGTGACAGCACACAGTAGTATGTTCTTTCGGTTAACTGACTGACCTTTTTATTGGTGAAGGTGCAGTGATTTGAGTTGTTCCTTCATTTTCTCCATTTTCCATGTTTCCTGTTACTCGATTGACGCTGTTTGATCCTAGGAGCAAAGAGGGGGAAGGAAAGGTGGAAGAAAAGAGACAGTGGTGAGAAAAACAAAAGGAGACAAGAAGTTATTTTAAACTCCAACTTCAGGGACATCGTGGCACATTTTATTGATAAATTATAATTCTAAATAAATAATGAATCACCCAGTAAATCTTAGGTACCATTTTCTGACGTGTACTGAGCCTTTAATACATAATCGTGTCCAAGAGGGTCTAGGATATGACACCACTTTAAAATGGGCCCTTTTGAAACTTTAAGAGTTAACGAAGTCCCCACTTCATGGATATTTAGACTACTAAAATAGGATTCTAAGATATTTAGCACTATACACTGGTATGTAAGACCTAATAACCAATCCCTGATAACCACATTGTGAAGAAATTACTGTTTTTTGGCATGCCATGATAGTCCCCATTCTAAATCAGACCAAAAATATTTCAACTTATAATGCAAATGGCAAAAAAAAAAGAGTAATATAGATGTGATTTCTATCACTCACATGGGGGAAAAAAAGTTTTCAAATGTGTTTTTTTTATGCAAACATCCCTAAAAGCCTAAAACTGACTGTTTAAAAGCCACTATTCCACATATTTGCATACAGGCTAGATGCACCAGCAGAGGGAGCCCCCGGCAGACACAATGTTGGAAATCATGATTCAAATAAAGGTAAGTGAAGTGTCTAGGCCCATCGAGGAAGTCTGGATCCCATTCTCACTCAGAAGGGAGGCTGTTAAGTCTGCAGGGGAAGTGACACATGGGCACTGATGATGACGACTCCTCTCAAGTGGCATGCACCTCACTCTGGGAAGTGCAGGAAAAACCAGCAAGGGGACCCCCAAAGTCCTTGTTCAATTAACTCTAGGTGACATGCAGGTTGTTTTCTTCAAAGTGGCATCTTGCAGAAGTATGTCCAGAGTTCAAGTCCTCTGATCCTAATAGTAATCACCACTAACCACTGATAGTTTTTGAGCCATGAAGTGAGATTGTAATACTATCAAGAGCTAATATTTATTGAGCACTTACTATGTATCAGTTGCTATCCCAAGCACTTCATGTCTATTTACTCATATAATCTTCAAAATAATCCTAAAAGGTTAATATTATCCCCATCATTAAAGATAAGAAAAACGGGCCTTTCCCAAGGTCCTACAGCTCATGAGTGGTGGGACCAGCTTTGCAAACCAGCAGTCTGGTGCCAGACATTAGCTCTAAACCACCTTACGTAGGTTTCCATGTGCCACCTGCACCCCACCCTCAAACAGTTCAAAATTAAGGGTCCGCTTGCAGAGACACACTCTTTAGAACACTTGGAGGCACGTTTGACTACTCATCAGGAAAAATAAACAGCAATGAATACACCTTGGGCAGAGAAAACAGTGGTTTCAATTAAGAGCTCCAAAAACGATCACTATAAGGAATTTGACATGGATTCAGTATCTGAATTTTGTTCCTATTTTGGAATTCTGAAATGGAAAGGTAAGACTGAAGATATATTAAAAACATTAAAGGTAAGTTCATGTCGGAGCAACATTCAGAATCCAGGAATTAGAAAGTTAGTCTGGAGCCTACAGAAAATTTCACCAGATATGACGAGTGGGACAAAAACCAGTTCCCCTGAATCACCCCATGTGCTATCAGACATCGGCACTAGCTGGTCATTGTCCATTTTGCCATGACCATTAATAACAATTCCAAGGGCAGACCCCCTAAGTTGCAGGCACAGATCTGAGATGGAGCTGCTTCTCAAATGTGAACTCCATGTGGTGTGGCCCTGGGACAGTGGCAGGAAGGATTGATTCATTTGTGCTCTAGACAGTGGGTGTGCACCAACATTAATATTTTTATTGTTCCTAATAAACTTTTTAAAAATGTGGTATTGTTTCAGCAGCTATTATGAATTTATAACATAAATGAAGGGACCTTCATGTACCTAGGGGTGTATCCCAGGCTGTGGTGGGGGAGGGGGGGAAGACAGAACACAGCAGAGAGCCCAACACCCAGTGTTAATAACACGAATGGAAGCAGCACTAAGTAAAGGAGATCATCATGTGAACCCAAGTCCTGTGTGACTAGCCTAAGAATAAACCCAGGTTTGCTCCACTTCTCATCTCTTTAGACTGATTAGTCTTTTCTTAGTCTAATAACCAATCACCTCAGAGCAAGTGAAGGTGCTTATCACATTTGCCTGTTTCCATCCATCTGAATCTTTTTTCCCCCTAATGTTTATTTGAGAGAGAGAGAGAGAGAGAAAGAGAGAGAGAATGAGCGGGTGAGGGGCATAGAAAGGGGGAAACAGAGGGTCCAAAGCAGGCTCTGTGCTGTCAGCAGCAAGCCCGATGTGGGGCTCGAACTCACAAAACGCAAGATCATGACCTGAGCTGAAGTCAGATGCTTAACTGACTGAGCCATGCAGGTGCCCCTACCTGAATCTTCTGAAAAATTAATAAACAGGTAGATAAATAAATCCGGGAATATTTTCAAATAGCTAAATTTTAAATGATGTATGTGTACATACTTTCTAAACAAACCAATATCTGGTTATCTACACTATGCAAATAATTTTTGAAATGAACACAAGATGGATGTTTTTCCAAAAGAATTTCAGGTAGGGGCACCTGCATGGCTCAGTCAGTTAAGCATCTGACTTCAGCTCAGGTCATGATCTCGTGTTTTGTGAGTTCGAGCCCCACATCGGGCTTGCTGCTGTCAGCACAGAGCCTGCTTTGGACCCTCTGTTCCCCCCTCTCTATGCCGCTCACCTGCTCATTCCTCTCTCTCTCTCTCTCTCTCTCTCTCTCTCTCTCTCTCTCTCAGTCTGATTTTGGCTCAGGTCATAATCTCGTGGTGAGTTCAAGCCCCGCGTCGGGCTCTGTGCTGACAGCTCAGAGCCTGGAGCCTGCTTCGGATTCTGTCTCCCTCTCTCTCTGCCCCTCCCCCACTCATGCTCTGTCTCTCTCTCTCTCTCTCTCTCTCTCTCTCTGTCAAAAATAAAACATTAAAAAAAATTTTTAAAAGAATTTCAGGGAAAAAATCACATATGTGCTGTCTCTCAGACATTCAGAAACAGTTTAGCAAGACTTCTTCAAAATAAATTATGTGACTGTCAGGACTATTTTGCTAACGGTCACAGGACTCTCATATACACAGCATAAATAAATAAGGTATTGGCAGTAATACAATATAATTCATGGTTCTTTTATATTCAAAACAGTGACTACTAACTAAAAACCTGTAGATATGTATTCCCTTTCTCTTTAATAATAGGGTCTTAAAAGTCTCATAAAGAAAACAGACTACAGGCTACTTACAGACTACACACAAATGCTACTTACAAGCACTAACTTACTGGGAGCACTTCTGAAGTATCCCTCATATAACATTCATATGCTAACTATAAATTACTCTTTTCTATTTGTGGATGTAGCATTCTTTAAAAAGCCCTAATTAGGCAATAATTATTAGCTTTCTTTATGTTGCTAAAGATGCACTTAAAAGTAATAACTATACTTTTAGAACACTGTACTTTAACTAATTAGGTCAAATTAGTGATATGTTGTCACACTACGATTTGAGAAGAAAGCTAGGCAATTCAGTAAAGCTAGGTTGTGTTAGGTTACTGAAATCTGCAAAGGTGAGAAAGGTTACACGTTATTGAGATTTACTGACTTTCCATGTTGCTGACATGCACTACTATTTTCCTTTCCCAAGCTTCTTCCCCCCTCATCAAACCACCTTTCAGAATCATCCCATCTACATTAGCTCAGACGCTTGCACTACAGAGAAGAGGTGAGCTGACAAACCCATCACACTAAAAGGCTAGTGTTTTCATGTATTATTGGCCACGCAATAGTTCTATCTCATTAAATTTTTTTAATGTTTGTTTGTTTGTTTGTTTGTTTGTTTGTTTAGAGAGAGGGGCAGAGAGAAAGGGAGAGAGAGAGGTAATTCCAAGCAGGCTCCCTGCTCTCAGTGCAGAGCCTGACTCAGGGTAATGCAGGGCACACAAACTCATGAACCTAAAATCATGACCTAAGCTGAAATCACAAGTCAGATGTTTAACCAACTGAGCCACCCAGGCACCCCAACAGTTCCATTTTAAAGAGGAAAAAGGAAAGCCAAATATTAACTAAAATACTTAATTGATCACAACGGAATTTTAGGCAGTGTCCTAGGAGATATTTTCAGGTTGGAAAAAATCTTTTTCTCCCACTCCTTTTTCACTGTGTTATAATGGACCACACACACACACACACACACACACACACACACACACACACGTGAAATATGAACAGTTTAACAAAGTATTATAAAATGAATGACTGTTTAACCACTATCCACTTTAAGAAATAAAACATTGAGGGCAATTTTCCTACACTGCATAAATCACTCCATTTGGAGCAATTCTTTCTTTTAGATAAAGCCAAACAGTTGTTTACCATCCAAATATCTAGAAACATGAATTATGTATATATTTCATAAAATATATTTTTAAATTATTTTTAAATTATTAATAAAAGTTAATAAGGCACCAAAATCTTAATAAAATGAAGGATGCATCACTGTACTGCTTCATGACTGTTAACACAGTGCTTTACACATGGTGGGGTATCAGTGAAGGTCTACTATAAAGGATGTATTCGCTTCTATTTTTTCCACTAGAAGGGAAAATTCAGGATAATGATGCTATTTGGTAGAAGTGTCAAAACTAAGTTCAAAAAAAACCTGTATGTGAAGTGCAACACAAGGGACATGTAGCCATATCCCACAGGACTAGGCTACTTTTTAGAGTTCTGAAAGCTACCTTCTGCCATAACTCACTATTCTTTTAAATGATGACTACAGACGATCTATAAGAGATCAGTTATTGGCATATGGTTATTAAGGTGCCTCGTAAATCTGTATTTTATTTTTTTAATGTTTATTTTATTTTTGAGAGAGAGAGAGAGAGACAGGATGCGAGTGGGTTAGGGGCAGAGAGAGAGGGAGACACAA